TACGGTTTGAGCTGATGTTGAAACTGATCAGCTGCTGATTCCAGGAAGCCCCGGGGCAGAAAAACTCTGCCTCTGGCTTCCTGTAGTCAGTCGCTGGTCAGTTTCAGCAGCGGCTGAATCTGGACGCCAGTTCCGACTTACGTACAAATTCAACTTAAGAAGAAACCTACAGTCCCTATCTTGTACGTAACCCGGGGACTGCCTGTATTAAATTGCTTTTAATCAGCTACTTGAGTAGTTGATGGAATTTTCAATTGCTTGATTAGTCAATAAGGGGCAAAATTGCAGAGCCACAGCGGGGCTAGCTCCCAGGGCTGGGAGCTAATCCCGCTGCAGGTCGGCCTTTTAAATGTATTAAGAGTCATCAGACTCTTAATACATTTAAAAGGCAGAGGCGTAGTAGGGGAAACCAGGCACAAGCCAGGAATCAGAGCCTTGACAGCTCTTAATACATTCAAAAAGCAGAGGCACAGCATCTGGGACCAGGTGCGAGCTGGGAATCAGCTGATTCCTGGCTCACTCCTGGTCCCATCACTATGCTTCTGCTTCCCCCCTGCTCCCCTGTGGAAACAGTGCTGGGGAAAACTGCTTTTAAGCTGGCTCCCCCCAGCACTGGCTCCTGCTCCCCACCCTCACTGCCTCTCTGTGATAGATTCAGCAAGGGAGGAGCAAATAGTTGAGTCACTGCTCGACTATCTGATAAGCATATGCCTCTACGTTCAGCTATCCTGCCATAGCAAGATGTTAACTTAAAAAAAAATGCCATATGCAAACTTCCCTGTCATGAAGCAGACTCACCACCATGGCACCTCCAGCTGGTTGCTCTGAAAATTAGCTTGTTGACTCGCTGGACATCTCCCTCTAGCTGGTATCTCCCTGTGTTCCTCTTTGACCATGGCATCCTCTTCAGGACACTGCCCTCTTGCAGTGCCCACTCCAGTCTCTCTGAGCCCCCTTCCGAGGGAGTGGTGTTTACCCAACTGCACACTCCAGGGTCCTCCCCTCCCAAGGGGCACCCAATTCTACTCCCAGGGAACACCCAGTTCCCCTGTATCCACCTTGCCTCAGTTACCCACAGTCACTCTTCATCTAGCTCCTGTCTCAGGGCAAACTGCAGTCTGTAATGGCCACTCATCACTGCCAAAGGGGTGTGGACCTGCTGCCCCTGCCTACCATCGCTGCCCCTCACAGCCCCAGTAGCTTCAGGCCTTGCAGCCTGGGGGCTTGCTTGGCCATAGCTTCCCCAGCCCTACCTTCCTTGCACAGCACCACTCTACCTCTAGGAAGCCTTCTGCTTCCCAGGTAACCAGGTCCCTGCTGTTCTCTAGCCAGAGCAGCAATCAGTTCTTCCTGTCCCTCCAAGAGTCCTTCTTTATATAGCCCCCAAGAACTGCCTCAGCTGGGGCTTCACTCTCAGCCCTCACTCAGGGCTGGTGTTTTGCCCTTAAAGGGCCAGTGCAGGGCAAATGCCCTGTCACACTCCCTTTAAACTGTTGTCACTTTTTCTTTGAATTATGGTCACTGGGGCCATCTTCCCCTCCTCCTAGCCTTAGAACAGAATTCAGTTAAGTCTGCATGAGTGGAGTTGCCAATCAGCTCCCAATATAAAGCTCTATTTTCATTGTGGAGTGCAAGGGAGAAATCTTGGTCTTCTGGAAATCATCAGTTTTGCTATTGACTTCAATAGAGTCAGGATTTCAACTAAAAGGTTATGGCTTATGGTCTCTGGTTTTAACAACAAAAACGTACAGTAAAACTTCGAGTTATGAACACTAGAGTTATGAACTTACCAGTCAACCACATACAGTAAAACCTGTGTTATCCAGCATGCTCAGGGGTTAGGGCGTTCTGGTTATCTTAAAATTCCGGTTATCTAAGGGTCCCATCAATCTAGGAAAAACCAATGGGCAATAATAGTAAAAATCAAGTTTTTAATATTGGTAGTTTTGTAGTGTGAGGCAATTGGTCTCATATTTCTGTTTTGAGTTAGAGATGATTAGTACTTCTTAAATAAAAAATGGTTAAGCCAATCATGGTCAACCAAGCCAGGCCTGTGCACCTGAAGATGACAGTATTGTGGCTGAGGGCAAAGGTTTAACGGTTATTTCAAAAGAAGGGTTTGTTCTCAAAATAACTGCATCTACACAGCATTTTTTATTTTGAAATAGCGGGAAATTAAAATCCGCGCTTCATTTGCAATTTTGCTCGGCTGCATTTGCCCTTGGTGAGTGGGCTGAGTTTACAAATGTTGGCTCTGGAATACAGTAGCAGTTATGTTCTATAACATTACCCTCGGCATATGCACTTGTTGTTTTCACTACAAATAGAACTTTCAGAATTTAAACTTTTGGCCTCCCTCTCTCCTTCCCTCTTCAGACACGTTATTGCTTTTTCTTTAAAAGGACATGATAAAAATCACCCCCCCCCCCTCTGGTTATCAACAGAGGTTTATCTTCTGTAAATGTAGTCAGGTTGAAGGTTTTATGATATCACTCTGACTTCCTGAGTTAAAAGCTATAATTAAAAATATTAATGAAATTGATTCCTTTTTGTGGGGATTTTTTTTCCTAGATGATCGACCAGTGAGAGATAGTGAACGAAAAGCATCCCTTTTGCATTTTACTACAGATCATGCATTTGAATTAAAAGGTTCTTCATCAGCAGCAAAAGTCGATGAAATTGAAAGGTATGAACAAAGTAACAGAGGCAGTAGTTTTGAAGTGTTGGAAAGAAATTAAGGCTTAATTCAAAAGCAGATATTGCAGTTATGTGAGTTCGTAAACATTCTTGGTGCAAGAATCAAAAAGTGCCGCTGTGGAAACATATGGAAAGTCGGGAAGGCTCTCTTCTCCCTTCAGTGTAAGTCTTTGGGGAGATTAGCAATGCCTGTGTCTGTGTCCCAATAGTTAGGTCTCAATGGGAATCTCAGGTTCAATTACTTCTGGTGCTTGAGGAGGAGAAAAGAGACCGAGTTCAAATCTCATTTCTAAGTGCTGTGACCACTGAGCTATGGAATATTCTGATGTGGGCTCTCTTAGTCTTTCTTGTTGGTACTGTTCAATTTAGGGATGTTAGATATCAGGTACCGTATATTCCGGCATACAAGACGACCTCTGAAGTTAAAAAACATCTCCCAAAAATCGGGGGTCGTCTTGTACGCCGGATGCCCCGCCGCCGGAGCCCCTCCGCGGCTTTGAAAGCCTCGGGGGAAGCCGGCGGGGGGGGCATCCCAGGCGCGCATGGGCTGCCCCCCCTCCGGAGCCCCTCCGCTCCTGGCGGCTTTGCTCCCGGTGCCTCTGGTCTGCTGGGGACCATCTCCAGCAGACCAGGGACACCGGGAGCAAAGGAG